ATAAAACTGCATTGCTCCTAACCAAGCCTGTAGAGATGGCCTTTTCTTTTTTAAAATAAAAATCCCTAGAGCATTACTTTTTGCTTATACAATTCAATTTCATCTTAGATACATTCTCTCCTGTTGAAATCCTTGTGGAGCCTTGTCCTGTCTTCTGCCACTTTAGCTTCCCTCCAAGTCAATTTCATCCACACACCACCAGCTACTCGAGTGGGCATTTCTAAGCATGTTAACCCCAGGCAGGACCCTAAGGTATGACTCTCATCAAACAAACAGTCCCTCCTGTCAGGAACATTATGGGCCAGTCTAACAGAGCTCTCCTCCGGCACATTGGACATTGACCTATAAATCAGTACCTTTTGGACAGGGCAGTTCAATCAATTAAAAATACAACCACCTATAGCATTCAGACCATATATCTTCATCTTAGTCAAAGGGATTTCAAGAGGGGTCCTGTCAAATGCATTGCAGAAATCCTCAGACCATCCCACAGCGTTCCTCTGATTCACCAGTTGAGTGACCCTATCTATGAAAGGTCAGACGAGGGGGCAACCTTGTCATAACTCTGTTGTTTATGCATTCTCCTAATTAACATAAAGCTCTAGCTGTGCAAATCTAAAGACAGGTCAAAACAAACAAATAGAAATGGGTTTACTTGTAACTCAAGTTCAAATAAAACATGGACAAGTTTAAACAACATCTGAGGTGGAATGAATTGTGTTTCCCCAAAAGATATGTCAAGGTCCTAACCCTGGTACCTGTGAATGTGATCTTATTTAGAAATAGGGTCTTTGCAGATGGAATCCTGTTCAGATGAGGTCATGCTGGATTAGGGTGGGCCCTAATTCAATAACCAGAGTCCTCATAAGAAGAGGGAAATTTGGACACCCAGAGAAGGTCATGTGAAGATGAAGGCAGAGAACAGAGTGAGCCATGTTGCAACAAGCCAGGGACACCAAGGATTGTTGGCAAGACCAGCAACCAGGAGGAGGCATGGAAGGATGACGGGAACATGGCCCTTCCCACACCTTGATTTTGGAGTTTTGGGCTCCAGAACCATTAGAGAATCAATTTCTGTTGTTTTAAGCTCTGAGTTTATGGAACTTTGTTACAGCAGCCCTAGGGAACTAATACATTTAAGCAAAAATATGTAAGTTTAAAGTGATGCCTATTAACATCAGAGTTAAGAGCACTCAGGAATTGGTCAAAAAAAGAAGAAGAAAAAAGAGAGAGAGGATGACAGGCATCTAGGTTCCTGAGCAGGTGGCAGGCCTGATGGGTGAGGTGAGCCAGCCAAGCAAGTTTGGGGGCATTGACTTTGAGCATGGGGGGGGGGTGAATAGAAGGTGACAACTTGTGACAGGCTCATCTCCAAGGAGTTAATTGTCCCTCCCAGGTGCAAAGTAGGCATTTTTCAACAAAATCCTGCCACTTTTTAATGGCAACAGATCACAAATTTGTCAGTTTATCATCAATATATAAGCAAGACCATGTTACGCTTCCTGCCTCCAACTTGGCATTTTCCTTGCCTATGTTTCATTCTTCCAAATTAGACAGCAAGCTATGCGGGAGAGGGATCTGCCGGCATGTCTGTCTCTATATATAGTGCTGTATCCACCATTTTCAGAGGTGCTAAGACTCCACTCATTGATGACGATATTGCTAAAACGGTTACATTTTGAGCTGGAAACAGGAAGGCGTGTTTTTTTTCCATGGGAAAACTTAGGGGGTGGGGGGGAGGGAAGGAGGCCCCTCACAGTTTCTAATATTGATCTGGCTCCAACGTCACCCCATGAAATACATGTCTATAATGGCAAAACTCCTCACTGGAAAGACCTTAGATCTGGCTCCAGGAGCTTTCCCATCAGTAATTAGGGGGATATATTATTGCTAATCTTCAACACACTGGGAGCTGGGTTAATTTTGAAAGAGAAAATAAAAGTGCTGCCTTGTGGCAAAAGGCCACTTCTTGAGGCCATTAAATCAAGCACAGCCCTGCGTGAGTATCAATTCTGAAGATATCTGCACCCCCTGTCGACTCTCCTTTTAGGAAGCTACTATGAAAAAGGCCAAACGAAGCCTCAACATGCAAAGACCATTTAGCAAGTACAGATAAGCTGGGCTAAAGCATGCTCAGAGCACTTAAAAAAAGATTCAAATTTTAATACATTAGCACTAGAACATATCGTACAAGTAACAGGGAAACTGCAGTTGTCAACGTGTGAATTTAGTCTCAGGGTAGGTTTGTCCAAGGAAGTAAAATCTCAATTTAGATTCTTTCTCTTCCCCCTCCCCCAATCCACATGTTTCTTTTAGGATGGGGGAGAACACTGTTACTCAGCAAATGTATTTCACATCAAGAAACAGTTAGGGTACAGTCATCAGGGGAAAGGATATAAAGCTCTCACTTTCTCTCTAAAATAGTTTGAAGTGGTCCTGCAAAGGGCTACACCATAAATGATGGGCAAGGTGTCAGGATGAGTGTGTGTGCATAGATAGATAGATAGATAATAGATAGATAGATAGATAGATAGATACATACATACATACATACATACATACATAGATGATAGATAAAAGATAGATACATAGATAGATAATAGATAGATGATAGATGATAGATAATAGATTATAGATAGATAATAGGTAGAAGATGATAGATAGATACATGCATAGATATATAGATAATAGATAGATAGATGATGATAGACAGATGAAAGATAGATAGATAATAGATAGTGATAGATAGGTACATACATAGAGACATAGATAGATAATAGATAGAAGATGATAGATAGATAATAGATGATAGATAAATAGATAGATAGAAGATGATGATGATACATAGATAGATAGATACCTGTGTGCATTCTTTTTTTTTTTTTCTTAAAGATTTTATTGTGGAATCGGGGAAGGGGAACAGACAAGTTGCTGTCCTTTTGTTCTTCAGTCTAGTTGTGGAGGACGTCGCTTTACTGGCCCATGTTGGTATTATCATTGCGCTCTTCCTGGGTGAGGCAGATCAGTCACCAGCCACTGGACAGCCACTCAAGGTGGCTCTTGGCAGCTCATGCTGGCTGCCGGCTGCTCACGGTAGCTTACGGGAGCCCACTGCAGCTCCATTGCGGCCTACGCCATCGCCGGTAACTCACCACAACCCAGCTCCAGGTCGAGCTGTTGTTCACCATCTTAGCTGTAGAGGGCGCAGCATCACTGGCCCTAATGTGGGATCTGAACCGGGGCCCTACTGCTCAGAGCTGGCGTCCCAAGTCAACTCTTACCGAACGCACCACTCGGCCAGCCCTGTGTGCATTATTTTTAATGAGAAAGGATTCTAAAGGGAAATCACAAGGGATTTTCAGGCATTTTTCTGTTGTACTTTTCAGAAAATCTGCCCACCTATCATCACAGGTGGAGCAGGTTGTAGTATCCTGGGTTGAGAGCACATTGTCAGGAGGGAAAGGCCTGCCCCAGGCCTCACCAAGCCAGGTGAGGTGGGGGTGAGGCCCCAGGATAGAGATGGAGGACTTGGCAACCCCCGGCCAACTCTGCTGACTGAGCTGTATTCCAGTTCCAGTCTGACAGGCTATTTTCCATATCAAAGCAACAAATGAAACTTTCATTTCAGAACGCATCTGCTCTCTCGGACTATTCTATCAGAAGGAGCTATTTTCTTTAAATTGAAAGTCAAGGCAGTTTATTTTTCTCAAAACTGTGCTGTCAGTTCTTCTGCCTTGCTCCTAGCACTCACTTGAAGCTACCTTATCCTGAAAAGGGGTGGGATGGGGAGAGGCCCCCCAGGGCATACTCTATGTGTGGTATATTTATATAAATCTTTGCCCTCAAAAGGCATGTCTATCAGAGATAAAGATGGACCATATTTAGAGAAAACTAGTTAGAGGAAAAGAGGTACCAAACCACTCTTCTGTTACAAACTTAGAACCAAAATAACTTCAGTCTCTTCAAATGACACATCTAGATACACTTTGATTGGGTATTTGACGTTTTCACAATAAAGAGGTAATCTTTCTCTTTCGTATCCCTCCCTATACACCCCAAGTCATTTTTAAATAATGAAGTAACTGTAGTATGTTTAACTGCATGTAACATATGGGTATATGCATATAATATAGATACTTTGTGAATATACATAAGAAGTGTTAGAGTGGGACCATTCCATTGCATCATTTATCCTATTATGTTAGTGCTCAAGTATTTCCCATCCACTTTGTCAAAAGCTCACTAATTGGTTTATCTGCATTCACTAAGCAAGAGATTCATTATCACTTCTATTTCCCTAATTAAATTAAAAGTAATATTATCAGGAAAGGCTGCTTTGTTCAGTGCAATAACCCTTCCAGTGATGCTAAGATTCTGAGGTGATTTATACTATTAAAAAAAACCACCATTCTTGAAGTCACAACCTTTGATATTCATTTGCTAAGATGTGTCTTTCCCTCTTTACCAACTATTTCTTTTTTTACTTTTGATTTTTAATGAAAGGAAGCTACCCTCCTCTTTTTGATCCCACACAGGTGCTAATGACATCAAATTCTGAAGTATTTAAAATAAAAGGGACACCAGGCCACTTTCCCAGCTAGGAACTAAAGGCGGCCCCGTGAAAATTGTGCCTAGAAGAATACTCAATAACTTTATGATTACAAATCTCTCAAGTATAAATTTTGAGGAAAATATACAATTAAAAATGTAGAAATCCACACCGTGATCTTCCGTAGAACATCAATTTAGTTGTTAAATGGCATTAAATTAGCCATTGGTAATTCACTCTTCTAAATGATTTAACCTTTCCAGTGATCATTTCATCTGTTTTTTGTATTTAAAAAAAATCAAAGAAATTTGAGATATGGAAAAGACATGCTGGGTGAGGATCTGAAACTGATTTGGTAGCTTTCGAGTTGACATAACCTTGGCCTGGTGCAGCTCATTTTGGAAAGCTGCCTCAAATTTCCCCTGGTTTTGAACTTTTTTTTTTTCCTTACCACTTTCATCTAGCAAGAAATCATCCTGGTAACGGAACTTCTCCGGTCCACATGCAATAAAAATGTCATCGTCACCAAAAAAGTCCTGAAGGCACATCACCTACAAGAGAAAAGCATGGCACTCAGCAAGGGGTCGGCAGAACAGCAATTACAACAATGCACCAGCAAGTCGACATCTGCATGAAGCCACTTCCTGTCTAATGCAATCAGGGCAGCTTCTCCAGAGGAATTTCAAAGGAAGGTCTCCAGCATCTGTTCCTAGTAAGAAACATGTTACGTTGCAGTTGTGCAGGAAGATGGGATAAGGAAAATAGAACCGGTAACTGTCACATTTATTACTTGATATATCAATAGGCTAGGAGGTAAGAGCTCTTTATTTTCATAATAGAGGGGATGCAGCCACATGTGGAACAGGAGTGCCCCTTTATTCTTCCTTGATAGCAGTAAAAGTCAGCATATGATTTTAGCAACAAATATATTTTTTAGTAACTGATGCCATAATATGTACATGATGATCAATGGCTGGGGTAACTACAGAAGAAAAATAGTTGTATCATAATATGAATATAATGATCTCCTTTAGACCCCTTCTACCTAAAGTTGAAACAAAAATGGAAACTTTCATGAGAGGAATAATAGAAAACGTAAGTTATTGCTGAGCTTTTGATATGTAGGCTATGGCAACTGTACGCCCACCACTCAAGCTATGCTAAACTTTGAAAAGCTCATTCTGCACAACTTTTTGTAGTCACGCAAAAGGAAAGTTTTAAAATAATCTTTTGATATTTATTCAACTTATTATTCTCCAATAAGAACGTGCAGAGCTAAATGGCGTTTTTCAAGTAAATGTGGTCAAAACAAATAATTTCAAGCACATTGCTCTTTGGATATGTGGTATAACATTTTGTCCACAATGTGTATAATGCCAACAAAAGCACCGAGGACACTGCTGATTTTTATCTCGTTTCAATTTCCTTTGACCACTTGGAGCAAATCCTAAAGCAGCTAGTAGAAGGCACCATTCAGACTTATAGGAAATAGACTTTCTAAACAGCACTACTCTTGGCTATCTGAGCACCATCGTCAGAATTTCCCTGGCTGTTAGATCCTTTTGGCCTGTGTTTACTATCAGCCTTATTTCTTTGCAGTTCCATCTGCAAGGTCTCTCTAGGATTCTGTTCTTTGTCAATCTTTGGTGGCACTACCCTGACACATCAAAGGTGCTGTAAGACTGGGAAGACACAGCATTATTTAAAGTCCCCAAAGGCAATAATGTGTAGGCTTTAGGTAGTTTTTCCAAATAATCTCTTATTTCCAAATCATCACTTGGCTGAACTTTTAAGAATGAAATTTCTGTGATGGTTTCATAGTAAGTATTAAGGATGAGTGAGGTATAATCTTGGTTTTCAGTGTTTATTCTTTCTGTAAAAACTTGACAACACAGATGACATAAGAGGGGCATTGTAATCATCAAGGAAGATGAACCAAAGGTCTCTAGGAGTGGTGTCAGAAGCTCTGATCTTCTACTTAGCTTAAAAACAGGCCCTATGCATTCAGAACCTACTCTCCATTTTATTCCTCTCTTTCTTCTAATTCCAACCATTATCTTGCTCACCTTTATATTCATGACACAACACCCCCACCCAGCTTTCCTGGTCAGCGTTGGTGTCATCCTAACCAACCTCCTACAGGCCATTTTCATTTTACCTGAATAAGTCTGTGTTGTGTGTGTGTGTGCGCGTGTGTGTGTGTGTGTGTGTATACATATGCCAGTTAGCATAGAGCACGTACATATAAAAGTGAGCAAGACATGGATCTCTCCCTCAGGCAAAAAAGTGAACAATTAACTCTAAAAAGCAGCATTTCCTAAAGTGTGAATGATTAATAGGTTTTGTGCAAATAGACTTGGGAAATACTGAGTTTATCCAATATAAACAGGTTTATCTCTGGTCTTCTCAAAACACTTAATGTGCTCATGTACACCATAACTTCAGAAAGGAGCTAGAAAGATCCAATATTTCCCAAACTTATTTGACTCTGGAACTCTTTTCTCACACAGCATCATACGGACCAGTGTTTGACGGTATTCCCGTTGGTACTGAGCAGGAAGCCATAGGTGAAAAAAACTCTGGGAACGCACAAAGGAAGGAACAGTTATCCACTCTCCTCCTAGGCAACCTTATTTCTCCAACTGATAAATACTAATTTGCTAATTTTCTTACACACGCAAACATATACGATGGGCCTACTCTGTGCCTGGCCCTGTGCCAAGATTTGATGGCCAATCTCTGATAGGTAAAAAATGTTGGTTTCCAAAGGAAATTGTCCTCTTCTACATATTCCCATCATTTGCATTTTAGAACACAAGATTGCTAACCTGGTGACATTCATCTATGTGTGCATGTTTTATGCTGCTGTTAAGTGGACAAATAACTATTATCAAAACTTTAACATACATAAGCAGGTTGCCAGCCAACTGCTTTTGCTTTCCATCACATACCAATGACTATCTGCCAAGCCTGAGACACAAAATAACATAATACACAACAATCCAGCTTGGATGGTTTAAGTCTAATTCTGTTGGGAAGTGGGAAATGAAACATGATGAACTTCTGATGTTATTTCCAAATCCAGAATTCCAAGAACATAAAAGGATGCAGTGATTGTTCAGGAAAAATAACTGTCATCGCCCAGCACAAAAGGGCAAGGAAAAGTCATTTCAGTGTCAAGCAACATGTATTCATTTACCTCTCAATCTTCAGTGAATGAAATCAAAGAATTTGTTGAACTATCAGAAACTATGATGTTTTCTGTGCTCGGCTCTGGCATGATTTAGCCATTTCCCTGTTCACACCCTCCCACCAGAGAAAATGGGTATGGTCAGTAGATGAAATTCAAATTTATAAAACTGCTCCTTGTTGGAAGCCTTGGTAAAAGATTTGGTAGCAAAGGAGCCTTCAACACAAGGTTACAATAAAGATGGATTTATGATAATCTGTACACTTCAATCATCTGTGTTCTCACACTCTATCATTGACCTAGAGGTAGCTGCAGTGTATTCCATCTAATATAAAAGCATCACAAAGGAGCATTTATAACCCTAGGCCAACATACTTTGAGACTTTTCCTTTAGGCATTATTGTACATTCTGATATCAAAGGGCTAGAAAACATAGAGAAATGTAAAACCAATGTTTTGCATAATGATCTAATTTTACACACACACACACACACACACACACACACACACACAGAGTGTTATTCCTTTTTAAATTTGAGGTTCTCAAAATTGAGTGTGATAACCAGCTTAAAAAAATAAGTTTCATTTATGGATAAAAACACACTCCTTGCTACAATGGCATAGTGATAGTTGACTTATTCTTTCACGACATCTCTGCTCAGTAGGTACCATGTGTAGGAAGTATTCATCAATATTAGATACAGAAAAGATGCAAAGGCAGAGATATCAAGTTTGAAAAAAGAGAGATGTCCAACCTGTGGAGGAGCAGTGGCTCGCTCTCCAGGCTTTCCTGTGTTACCATCATTTTCCTGCCCCCAGAAGAGTTGGTATTGTCAGCAAGTGTCCTTCTCCATCGTCTCACTATGGCTGTAGATTCTGCCTCTGCAACATCTTTCAAACCCAGGCCTTTTCCTGCCCCTGTTCCCTTCACCTCCATCACCACATCAGTCCAGATCTTATCCTCTTAAAAACCCTCTCATGGATTTTTTCTCCAAACCATCCTATTTAATTATCTCAATCTACTCTTAGTTAACTTTCAACGTTTCTCTTCAAAATTTCTCTTCACTAGCTTACCATCATCAAGTTGAAGCTCATCTACTGAGCTTGTATTCCAGACACCTCAAAACCTGTTTCCAACCTACCTTTCAAGTCCACAGTAGTTTTAGCCATGACATGGCACCTGATACTTAATAAGCATTTGTTGGATGGATGATGGATAGATGGACAGATGAATGGATAGATGATACATGGATGGATGGATGGATGGATGGATGGATGGATGGATGGATGGATGGGTGAATGGAGGGATGGATGATGGATGGATGGATGATGGATGGATGGATGATGGATGGATGGATGATGGATGGATGGATTATGGATGGATGGATGCATTGATGCATGTAAGGACTATTCTCCAATGTGAATCATTCTCCACCTTGTTTGCTTCACTTATTCTTCTCAGAAAGGGATTTTTCCTTTCCTACTTGTATGGTTTTGGTATAAAATATTTTCCATTGGTTATCCCCTCCTACCTAACTCTTAGCTTGTTCAAGTCTCTCCTGTGACTCAAGGCTCAGTTGAAGATTGAACCCTTAGCTTCTCTATCCTCTCCAATCCAAAGTGACTCACCCCTGCTCTGAACCCCTAATCATGACTCAGTAAATGTTTATTGACCACCTATTAGTTGCCAGCCACTGTGCTAGGCCTTGAGAATATGGCTGCCCTCAACCTTCACCTCTTCTGTTCTAGTACATATGTGTACAGACTTCCACTCCAAAGAATTCCCATCACACAGTTGTGAATTAGTAATTCAGCAGGGAGTAACATGCATTAGCTTCCAGGGGTTTTGTCACAAACCTGGAGTCAGGTGGCTGAGTGACAGTCCTTGCTTTGCCACTACCACTGACTTGGGTCAGTCAGGAAACCCCAGTCAGCTATCTTGAAATGTGCTCTGTTTCAAAAAGATACTAAATTTAGTAAAGGCAGAGGCAGTGACTCCTGTTGGGTGTAGTTCTTTGGCACAATGGAGACAGCTGCTCTGGCACAATTTCCCAAGAGCACAGCCTTGCTGTCAAAGCCTGGGATCTGAATTAAGCCAGCTCTGCAACTTAGATGTTCATTTCTGTGCCTCAGTTTACCATATCAATTGTTTTAAAGGATTAAATTAGTTAGGGCCATGAATCGGAAGAGAATAGGTCCTCAACAAATTTTAGCTATTTTCATTAGTCCAAATGCGATTTTACTTCCAAATAAGTATAAATCAAATGTATACCTAATACAGGCATACCTCGGAAATATTGCAGGTTTGGTTCCAGACCACCGCAATAAAACGAGTAATAATTTTTTTGCTGGCGGAGGGTC